AGTCCATTCATTTGGGAAATCTTATTGAACACCTGTTGCTTGCCAGGCCCTGTGCTGGGTAGCCAGGATATAGCAGCAGATCAGACCTGGTCCCTGACTTCTAAGAGCTCTCAGTCTTGGATGGAGATAGACTGTTTTAACACAGAGTGGTCAGTGCAGTAAGATAGAAGCAGAAGGGCCTGTGGGAGCACAAAGGATGGTACCAAACCCGGGACGGGAGGGAAATAAGGAAGGTTTCCTGGAGGAGAAGCCTGAACTGAATCTTAAAAGATGAACAAGTGTTTGCAGGAAGACCAAGGTGCGAGTGGTTTTGGAGAGGGAAGTTAGGGCTCATATGAAAGGGATCTGCCCTCAGTTTAGTGGGGAAACCCCTTAGAGGACCATGAGCTTGGGGCTGGGTTCTGGGCATGTTTAGGCAGCCAGGGTGACCGCCTGTTTCAGATATAGTAGAGGGGAATCTCTTCTTGGGGAACTGGAAGAGCTCACCATTACGGTCTTTTTCCACTTGGAAGGTCTATGACTGTGTCAAATCAAAGGCAGGCGCTGTACCAGAGACAGCAGTGGGCTCCCTGGCCCCGGTGGACCAGGCCGTCTCTCCCACTAACACCGTTGCCGCTGCCTTCCCCTGCCTGGGTGATGAGACCTAGGCTAGCCACCGGCATCAACCGGGACCAGCCCATGAACCCCCACCTCCACCCTACTTTCCTGGCCCGAGCCCTATTGACAGATCCCCCAGAATCTGAAGGAATTCAAGACAAATGGTTAAGAGGATGGAGTTAATAAAATTTGAAAAATTGAGGCCTGTCACTCCACTAAACTTTTTTCAATACCACTGACAGAAACATATTTCCCCAATGAGTGACCTTCCACAGCTGTAGCGGGCAGGCACAGCCGCAGCAGTGCTGCCAGGAAGCCAGTCTGCTATTTATCAAATATTATAAGCGGGGACACACTAATCTGGGGCAGGGAGAGGAGGGGAGGGTCCTGCACTATACTGCCTGGGGTGCTCCAGGTGTTGGCCCCAGCCCCAGACAGGCAGTGGGAGGTGACGGATGGCCTGCGATTAGCTCTTGCCACCTCCGTCCAGCCCTCTCACTTGCTCCCAGAGGCCTGACCCTCTAGACCAGCTGCTCGGCCTGGAGGGGCCCTGGGTGGGAGGCAAGGGGAGGTCAGGCCAGGGCATGGGCCATCCTGATGCCCCTGGAGAGGGCAGGCGGGTGAGGCCCAATGTGGTTATTTATTGGAGTGTAATGGTTTGTGACCATTGGTCGTGGAGGTGAAATCGATCAGTTGTAGAAGTCAGGTTCTATCAATTATTACAGCAATTAGTCAAGTCAGAGCATCAGAGCAAGGGTGCAGGGGCTGGGGGACTAATATTAGATGGGTGTTATCCGCGGTGCCTCAGCCTTCCTAAGGTGGGAGCAGACGTGCTGCCCTGAGGCTCCAGAATGTTGGGGAGCCTGGCTGGCTTCCCTCCTCAGGAGTGGCTGGGGTGGGGCCTGAGAGCTTCTTGGCCCAGCACTGCTTTAAAAGGCATCCCTGTGCTGGCTGGCCCAGGTGCAGAGATGTCCTACCTGTCCCCATCCCATCCTTTATGAGAAGTGACACGACTCCTACTAGAAATTACTCAGTGGCCAATGTTTATGGCACACATTTTTCATTCTGTAAGCAAATATAGATCACTGACAACACTTGTTTGAAGCAGCTAATCTCACCCTCTGTTCTTTCTTCCACTGTCTCCCTCTCTCACCTTCTCTTCCTCTCCCCCTCCCCTCTCTCTCCTGTTTCTTTCCGTCTTCCTTATCCGTTTCTCTTCTCTTCTTCCCTTTACTCCTCTTTTCTTTCCCTTCCAAAGGTCTCTCCCTGATCCCCATTCACTCCAGCCCATATATAGTGACAGAGCTCCCCTGGAGGCTACCTAAGAAAGGAGAGCCTTTCCACTGCCTAACTCTAGTTCCCTTTCAGCCCTAGCTGCTGTCCAGGAGCTTTGGGGGGAGGATGCTGTCTGCCACTGGCTGGGAAGACCAGGCCAGGTGAACAAGCCCCTTAGCGCTTTGTTCCTTCCTGAGCCCCCGCAGTACTGTCTGTCCCTCCTTCAGCACACCAATCACACTTGGCCTGCGTTGTAGTTGTATGGTCATCTCTCATCCCCATTAGCTTCTGGACAGCTGGAATTGTGCCTAGGCTCGAGCTCTAGGTAGCACCTAACCTTAAAGCCAGGAAGAGGAGCCTGCAGAAGAGACAGAGAAGGAACGGTCATAGGGCTGTGAGGAAAACCTGAAAAAGTGCTTTTATAGAACTCAAGGGAGAGAGTGAGCGAGGTATCAGTTGCTACAGAGTCATCAAGAAATATAAAAAAGAAGACATTCAGTGGCTTCGCCCATCCCCCATCATCCTGCATACAGGGCTCTGCAGATACAAAGTGCCCCCGTAAGTGCCAATAGACTTGAAAGAAAGACTAAGGCTCCAGCTGAGCCTCTGAGCGCTTGCCTACCAGTTAGGAAGAACACAGACACCCTCCTGACTAGGGAGGGTGCACCTTATCCTGTAAGCAGGGGAAAGCCAGGAAAGGATTTTTCAGCAGGAGTGTGTCATGGCTGCCCCAGTGGGAGTGTGGAGAGTTGGAGTGGAAAAAGCCTGGGGATGGATTTGACCTGGTCCTGGTCCAAGCAAATAACTAGCTTTGTGACCTTGGGCTAGTTATTTCACTTCTCTGAGCACAGTTTTCATGTCTGTAGCATGGAGATTCTAATTCCCACCCCTCCAGGTGGTTGTCAGGATTAAGTGATACAATGTACATGGAGGACAGAGCACAGTGCCCAGCACGTAGTAAGTGCTCAGGAAATACCAGCAGCTATTGTTATGACCAACACTCCTAGATATATAATATAGCCAAGAGACATGAAAACACACATCCACGCAAAGACTTGTACATAGCAGCATTGTTCACGATAACCGAAGTGGGAAAACAACCCAAATGTCCATCAACTGATGAACAGATAAACAAAATGTGTTATATCCACAGGATGGAATATTATTCAGCCAGAAAAAGGAATGAAGTACATGCTACATTCCTACTTTCATGGTGTAGCAGAATGACACATGCTACAACATGGATGAACCTTGAAAACATTATGCTAAATGAAAGAAGCCAGACACAAAAGGCCACATATTGTATGATTCCATTTCTATGAAATGTCAAGTATCGGCAAATCTGTAGGGACAGAAAGTAGACTAATGGTTGCCAGGGTTGAGGGGATTGGGGGTGTCTGTGGTAATGGTTATGGGGTTTCTTTTCGAGATGATGAAAATGACCTGGAATTAGATAGTGGTGATGATTATACAAACTTGTAAGTTATATTTAAAACCACTGAATTGTACACTTTAAAAGGTTGAAGTTTTATGGTATGTGAATTATATCTCAATAAAATTTTGTACTAAATTCCTATAAGAAAATAAGATCATGTACAAAAGTATTAATTTTTTCTTATTGATAATAAGTTTCCTTGGCCTGGATCGTACCCCCTGCTCTCAGCCCTTCCCCCTCCTCCTCCCACACCTCTTCCTCTGCAGCCCAGGCAGACAGCCACATGTAAATGTTTAATAAATGCTTACTATTGTTGATAAGTTATAGGCCTTTAAGAAGCAGACAGCTTCAGTGGGAATAGTTTAATATCATGAAAAAATTGTTTCCACAGCCTGGGTTTGAGAAACACTGATTTTTACTGTCTATGAGCAAATGGTGGCTGGACACCCACCCTGAGCCAGGCCCTGTGCTGACACAGCCTTGCCTGCATGTTTAGTGTCCCCAGCTAGTCCACTACATCCTTATGGCAGGGACTGAGTCTTAACCCTTTTTTTACTTCTAGGCAACACTTCCTTAGCAAGAAAGAAGATCAAGGAATGTTCCGTTTAACATGTAGTTCTTGATCATCTGCTGTGTTCAAGGCACAGCTTTCTTCTTACATTTCTGTCTTCTTGCGTTAGGAGGACTGCCTTTGGGGCCAAAGCCTAATTCTGTGTCCCCAGGCACCACTCAGTCAGGGTTTGCCAAATTGAGTGGAATAGACAGTTTTTGAAGAGGAGAGTGAGGTGCTCAGACCTGGGCTTTGGGAAAGAGATTCTGACATGTGGGGGTCAGAGTAGCCTTTCCTCCATAACTGCCAAGGCTTTGCACCAAGTAGACACTTTATACAGGCTCATCATCTGTCGGCACTTAAGAGAGAGAAGGTAGATGCATGGCCCCCAGCAAGCCCCTTCTTTTCGTCATACTTAAAGTTCTTTGTCCTCCAGTCATAGGCACTAATGCGTGGAGGAAATGCCTGCCCACATGCACGCTCTCACCAACAGCTAGCACTGGGGAGGGCATCGAACCTTGGGGCTAGCACAGCCAGGTTGCTAGCGAGGCGCATGCCCTTCCGGAGGACTCAGCTGACTCTGGCAGGTAGGAATGCCAGAGGCAAGAGAGCATTAAAGGAGAGAGACGGGCAGAGAGCAGAAAGAAGGGGATCTTTTCGTTGTTATTTGGGGTATTCTGTGCTTTAGAAAGGAACCCTTTTATATAATTTTTATGAATGGATATTTATCTGTATGCAAATGAGTTTGATAATCTGGGCATCTTAATGACTAATGCGTTGGTGTTGGGGTATATTAATCTGTGTATTTGGTATACTTGTTAGCATGTTCAGCTGTGTGTATTTGTGTGTATAACACATCTACATGTGTGTGGTAGTGTGGGTAGTGTATTTCTGCACACGTGAGCCTTTACGTGTAGGAGCCCCAATACCATGACCGCTGTATCAGAGAGGACTCAGAACTCTCCTCTCAGGGTAGCCTCACATGTTCTTCCTGCTATTCTACAAACTCTTAGGTTTTTGTTGCTCTATTTCCATGGGAATTTCTCACACTGAAATCAGGGCCCAAGCCACCTCCAAGAGAAGGTTGAGGCCCCACTGATGACTCATAGAGCCTCTGACTACTTCTCCTTCTCCTCCTGCCAGGAGCCAACCCCCTGCAGAGGAATGAAATGGGACACACACCCTTGGATTATGCCCGAGAAGGGGAGGTGATGAAGCTTCTAAGGACTTCTGAGGCCAAGGTAAGTGTCAGAGAAAGGAGAAGGCCTGTGGGCACTCCATGCTGCATTTAATCTTTCACTCACTAAATTATGTCAGGCTCTGCACCAAAGGCCACTTCTCCTTAGATGATTATTGTCTATTTAAATACAAATCCAACCCGCAATCTCATCAAGAATAGGAAGCCGCCCCTGTCATGACCAGGAAGAGGCCTGGGCCACTTCTGGCTTCTGAGGACTAACCTTCAAACTCTGTTTTTGAGGTAATGGGCCTTCCAGCTCCTTTTCATAGGAGGAGCGATAGTGACACAAAATCTTTAGCCCAAGTACTATTTCCCCAGGCCTCATGTATTCCATAGCCTCATCAAGCAATTGTTTCCCATCATCACTCCTTCTAGAACCATTCCCTGACTCCTCCCCTTCACATACACTCCAGAGAGTATATGTGGTATAGAGTCTGAGCCAAAAAAATCTCCATCTTAATTTGATCTTCTCAACCAAACTTTTGAACTCCCTAAAAATAGGCTGCGTCCTGTTCCTCCCAGCCACCAAGCTATAACTCAGGGACTACTTGGCAAAATCCAAGAACTCAAATCACAAATCTCAGAGCTCAGAAATCATCAAGTCCAGTGATGGGGAATCTTATCAAAGCCTAAACAAATAAGTCAGAGGAAAACAAAGCCATTCTGATTGGAGGAGAGGTGAACCAGAGCCCTACCCCCCTGGCCTGTCCCTTCTTTCCTGGGCAGCTTCCGTGGAGGCTCTGCTGTGGGGCACACATTTTAAATCTCTGAAGCCTAAATCAAGTGACTCGTTTTACTCCTGGGGAAGCTGGGGCCCAGGGGTGTGATGTGGCTTGCCTTTGGTCCCAGAGTGAGTTAGCATGAAAACTGAAACTAACAGACTTGTATGCAGGGTCATGAAGGAGGTTCAGTGGCAGAACTGGAACTGGAAGGCTTGATTTCTGACTCGTGATCTCGTGCTCTTTCCAGCATCATGGAGTCTCTGGTTGGCAAATTGGCTGGTGTGCCTTGAGATGATTCAGTGTGGCAGGTCCCATCTGGTCCCAAGTGGCAAATATTCTCCATGTCTTGAGTAAGAGCACTTAAGTCCCTGCACTGAGACAGACAAGACGTGGGTCATGATTCCAGCCCCACCACTCACTGACTGGGTGACCTTGGGCTAGCACTTCTCTTCACTGAAGCTCAGTTTATCTCTGTGAAATGAAAATGTCGGACTAAATGGTTTCTAAGGTTCTATTCAGTATACGATTGTCTGTGTATCGGTCAGGATAAACTAGATTATGCTGTTTTAACAACCCAAAATTTCAGTGGTATAAAACAACAAAGATTTATTTTTGCCTCATGCTGCATGTCCATTGTGGGTCAGCGTGGGGGCTCTGCTCATCATAGGCACTCAGGGACCCAAGTGGCATCGCAGCCACCCTCTAGAATGTTGCTGGTTGCTTGCCAGAGGAAAAAGAACACTCTGGAGGGTCTTGCATCTGGAATTAAATCCTCAGCCTGTAAGTAAGAACTTCCAGTCACAACTCGCTGGACAGAATTAATCTCTTGTTCCCACTCAATCACAAGGGGGCCGAGAAGAGTAATCTTACCATGTACCTAGAAGGGGGAGAACTGGAAATATTTGGTAACCAGCATTAACCGTACAGTTTGTCTCCCTGGCATTCTTAGTGACTGTCTTGTAATAGTTTCCTCTAGAGAAGAGAAGGAGTTAGCTAGGGCTGACTGGCTTTCACAGCACATCCCGAGGGGTGTTTGGGACCAGGAAGAGCGAAAATTCCAAGAGAGCAACCGGTTCCTTCCCTTCGTTCAGATTTTCCACCCCTGGAAGCAGCCCTGGAAGTCCAGTCAGCTTCCCCAAATGCCTGAAGGAAATCCCTAACCATGTTTCAAATAACCTGAGGGACTGCACTTCTGTAATTGTCTCCCCTTTCAGGCCCAATTGCTGTCCCATGAGAGCAAGTGCTGGACTTGTCCAAGAGGACCCATGGTTTATCAGGTGGTGTGACATAGGGCAGGCGCTGTTCTCATGTAAAACAAGAGAACAGTCCTCTTAGTGCCAGCATAGGTGGTGGGGTTACAGCTGCTGAGGGACCCTTAACAAAATTTGGCTGCCTGAGAAATGGCTTGATGTTGGCTGCATTAGTGCAAGGCTAGTGTCCTGAGTGAATAAACTGTGGTTGCATTCCCCTGTGCCTGTCAGACCCTTCTGGACCACAGAGGGCAATTGCAGACACTACCTTCTGAGTAGACATGGAGCTCTTAGAATCTCTGCAGAGCAGGGCAGTAAGGGGGCAAGAGGAACTGTGCCATGAGAAATAGCTGAAGGCAATAAGGGTATCTGGCCCAGAGAGGAGAGACTGCGTGTAGGCACAGGAATGGCGGTGAGTGAGAGGGGACAAGATTCATTCAGTGGCAAAGCTAGGACAGAGCCAGGCTTAGTGGGTGGCAGCTGCAGGGAAGAGCTCCCCAAGAGAGCTGTTGCACAGTGCAAGGGGCTGCCTTCAGAGGCTGGAATATCACTTAGAGCCAGGCTGGGGTTCTGTAACCTCTCAACTGGAAGACTGTTGCTCAGTTGTCACCTCTCTGCACTTGATCCTTTCATCTGATCTGAACTTCCTCCATCCAGAATGTCCCACTGTCTGCTGAGCATCTCCACCTGATTGCTCTGCTGTCCCATCAGATTCTACCCATGGGAACTGCCCCTCAGCTCTCCCTGGGTGTCAACAGCATTGTCTTTCTCTCAGTTGCTCAGCATCTGCTTGATCACCCATTCTTTCTGCTCTGCTTTTTTCCTCTAAGCTGCAAAAAAAACCTACCTCTTCAAAATTGTGAGGCAGTTTCATAGGAAGAAGTCTGCTTTAGACCAGGGGGCTCTCCCCCTCTGCCAGTAAGTATGCAGCAGCTGTTCCTCTCTGAGTTCAGGCCCTACGTCTGTAACGTAATGACTCAGGCCTGGAGGGTGCCGAGGCTCCAGCCTGAGGCCTCATCTCCTGGCTCGTTGTCTAGATGTGGGTTACCGCCACTCTGATCTTATCTTACTCCCCTTCTGTCCTTCCAGCACCCCTGCCACCCAGCTCAGCCTCCTCCACCTTCACCTGCCACTGTGTAGTCAAATATGTGCTCGTTATAGAAAATTTGTAATTATAAAAGTATATGTCTCATTATAGAAAATTAGAAAGAAGGGGAAAGTAAAATGAAGAGAATTAAATAATTCAGTACGTATCTATGAATGACATCTGTGTGCCAGGCTCTGGGCTAGATGGGAAGACAGATGGGTGAAACACTCAAGGAGCTCACGGTCTGATGAAGAGACAGGCAAGTGAACCATGACACCACTGAGTCATCAGTCTCAGGGAAGCCCAGGGACTGTGGAAACCTGGAGGTGGCTTCTAATCCTGCCTGGGAGATCAAGGAAGGCTTCCTGGGGAAGATGTCAACTGAGCTGAATCTTAATTAAGAACATTCTAGTCCTACTGCCTATACATAGATAATAGTTTAATAATACTATTATAATAATAATAGGTACGTTTTATTGAGTGCATCTAGGCACTATGCCAGGTCCTCTAATATATGTTTTTTTCTAAATGAAGTAGCTCTCATTACCCCCATTTTACAGATGGGAAAACTGAACCTGAAAGAAAGCAAGCAGGTTACTTAAAGAAAATCAGCTGTTATAAGTAACTATTGGGATATGAGTCAGAGATTTCCTCTTATGATACTATATTTGCCTTTTCTGGACCATATCTATATATATTTATAAAAACGGTCTTTTTTTTAACCTGGTTGATAGCCTACTATATATACCAGGGGCCTCAAACTAGCAGCCATGTATTATTTTGCCAGCCTCGAGTTTTTAAAAACTGTGAATGGAATGCCTTAGGGGTTGGAGCATGGGTTGTTCAGCCACAGGCCCCCCATTCCCTGTTGTACTATGTGCTTGCCTGTCATACATTCGTACTTCCTACTGGGCCCTGAAGGTGTTTGAGTTATGATCCTAGTTCCCTATTTGGAATCTGCTTTTTTTAATTTAATATTATTTCTTGATGATTTTCCCATTTTAAAGTTATCCATAAGCCTAATTTTTAATTTCATTCTGCCTTTTAAAATGTGTCGCTTATCTAGGAATCTGTGTCACCTTAAGGGGCCTAAATGATGTTCTCCTCACTGCTGGTTTGCTCAGTTCTCTTAGCATTCTCTGTGTGCAGGAGCCTCCTTGGGACCCCAAGACAATCCAGGATTGGTGAGGCCCAGCACATCCCTGAGCTAGCTGTCTCGGGGAACATGGGGGAGAGGCAGGCACTCCTAGCTCTCATACCCGCAGACTGACTTGTGCCCTAAAATGGGTCCACACGGAGTTAGTGGGGCTCTGGGAAAGCATGGGTCACCTCCAGGCAGAATGAGCAGGGCAGGTTTCATAGAGGAGGTGGCCTGTGATCCCACTTTGAAGGATTTCACTCGATGGAGAGTGTAATACTTAAAGCTTAGACAATTTTCATGTCTTAACTAAGAGATGAAGGAGAGGTAGAAATATATCTCTGTGCACATGATGGCAGATGAAACAAAAATATGGGGAGCTGTTCCATGATGAATATTCAGCTGAGGGGGATGTGCTAGTGCCAGCCCACATCTCTACTCCCAGATCCTCACTCCACCGAGACTCACGAGGAATTTATTGCTCATTTTAATCACACCCAGAGAATGAATTGGCAAGAATATTAGGCAGATAGGCCTATAATATATATTTTATTTGCGTATCCCAGTGACAGAATCACAAGCACATTCCCTATCTCTATATTTTTTCATTTGCTTCAGGGTAGCTGGGGATGCAATGCTCCCCTGGGCCTGCATTCCCGGTCACGAGCCTGGGTGCTCCCGTCAGAGCTGAGGGAAGCCCTCCAGGAGAGAAGGGGTGAGGGACCCAGGAGGTTGAGAGGGTTATGTTCCTCCCGGCTTAGCGTGAAGAGAGACCCCTTCCCCCGCCTCGCCCAACCTGCTCCC